GGGAGAAAGTGGAATATATGGAGTGATGCAACAAATGTAAAAAGATAGGCACATACACACCTAATTTGTGATCGCCAACTCATTGCGCTACAATAATTTGGAGGCATCAAAGTATTGGCAATTCAGTTAGCATAATACAGCAGGCACAGCCGAAAAGACCTCACAAGACAGAGAAAGAAATGTGATAAAATAGGTAGAGAAATACACTTAGAGATGATTTTATTTGATCAATCAGTGAGTTATAGGCGCCTGGTTTAAATTAATTACCTCTTGATGAAAGGCTAACACAATAGGATGAATGAATACAATACAATTTAACAAAAACAGCTGCACTATATTGTGAAGTTATAGCAGCACATGTATCAGGAAGCAGCAAAATCTTCTATATGAAACAACATAACAAAGGCTGTTTTTGGAAAAACTGTGAAAATACATTAAGCCATGACATCATTCATTCACACTCACAGTTACATTGCATTTGAGTGTATGATACATTGTATCATTGTAAGCCATAGGATGAAAGGCACTGCGTTGGGTGTAGACGATCACACCCAGTGCAATATACATATTTACCAGGATGTGACATAGCTATGATTAATGGCACTGACAGAGCAATATATATATTTCACCGGCAGTAATGCTTGGCTTGTTCAGTTGTGATAACAATGATGACAAAAGGTCATTTGTAAAATAGCAAAATATGTCATTAATAAAAGATTTTATAAGAAACTGACATAATAGTAGTCTTTACTTCTGCATAGATTGATTGAATTGGATGCCAATTATTTTCCAGAATCATTTCAATCACGACGACCTTTTATCAACAATTTTAACTCCCACTTGTAATTTTGAAATAAATTCTGTACCTCTAGAAATATCTAAGGAGTATTCTTTACTGCTAGTAACATTTCTACCATCAGGCCACCATTGAGTAAGTACCTTCATATCTCTATAGTGTCCAAGGCTCAAAACCTGTACAAAGTTCTTCCATTTCACCAGTATTAAAGCAGGCTAACCTTTCTTGAGCACTTTAGACATTTTCATTCGCTTCTTTTGCTGGTTTCTTGTTATGGTTCTCCTCCTTTAGCCATATTGATGCCTTACAACTCTACCACGTACTACTGAGCATACGCATAACTTTTCCATATTATAGCTGCCCATTATAGAAGTCATATAGAACATAACCTTTTTCTCATGGGTGTGTTAGATATACACTCAAATAATATTC